GGGTGTGGGGGGATTCTCAAAACATTCCACTTTAAATTTTTTTTCCATATAATATATTATATAATATCGCTATACACTACCATTCAAAGTTTTTGAAAGTGTCGTATGTTCATCAAGGCTGCATTGACGAAAGCTTTGTCCAGTGTCCCACAAGACACAGTCAGTGTCCCGCATTTCAATATCTGTATTACTTTATTTCTTCCCTGAAATTACAATACCACAATAAGAAAGAAATATAATACAAAAAAATGTGATTGGTGTTAAAAAATCTATCATGTTGTAGAGCGGGAAAATAACTAGTGCATTATTTTGCATTACTAATGCAAAATAACGACTGCATTCATGATGCAAAGGAACCACGTGGACTTTATCAAAACTCATTAGATATAGCTACACCCAAAAACATTCAAGTTCAAGATGCACTGAATTTGGTAAAAACACATTTATTGTTTGCATAGTCTAATAAAGTAAACTAAAATCTTATTTTCTATCTATACTAGCTTGACATGATATCGCTTGACCTGCATATTGAGTGATTGGAAATCCTCTTTGACATGACGTCAAATAAGATTTCCAACTAATGTAAATCAATATTTACATTGCATAATAGTAGTAACTTTATCTCTCACACACGTGTCCCACAAAATCACATCAACTGTCCCATAACAGAGCAATAACCAGGTGGTCGCCCTACAGTAAAAACAGCAATATTGTAGAATATTAACATTTTGTTGTGTTTTTTTTTTCCGTGGCTGGTGAGAGTGGAATGTATGTGAGCATGTTGTTGTGAATGTGTGTATTGATGTGTGCTTGTGACCCCACTGATGGGAGAGCGAGGGTGAGATGTTGATCAGGCCTGACAGGGTGTGATCATTACCGGGCCAGGCCAGTGAGGTCTCAGCCCTGCCACTGTAATGAGATCAGCGGGAGTCATGGCCGCTGCCACGCTGCATGACCCCGCTCATGCGACAGCAGTGCGCTGAGATGGCTAATTTAACGCTGGTCATCCAGGCACCCACCACCCCATACCGAGCTACTGCTTGTGTAGTGTGACTTCAAGCATGTGGAAAGCACATTCATGGGACACTGACATTTGAGTGACTGCAGTCTAACAAAAATAAGAGACACTAACTTCATTCTTTCTCAAGCCCTTTTTTCCTGTCTTTCTTTTTTTAAGTCAATTATATTATATTAATACTATTTCTTGACCACATATATTTTATATTATATATATGAGATATGTCTATATATATATATATATATATATATATATATATAATGGATTTTTGGTTAAATGCCTGAAATACGGTCTGTACATCAGTAACTGTGATTTTTTATTTATTTTTTAATGTAAAAGCTTTTATGTGTCTCAAAAAAGGTGATTGCTAACAAATGACTAAATGGGACTAATGGATTGGATTGCCTTCCAAAATAAGGCAAATTGGCAAATGGTTCCCAGATAGCAACAAAGTCTGGGCCGAGTCTGGCTAGGCACTTCACACTTTTGTGTCAAACAGTACTAGGCTAAGGTCTGGCTGGAGTCTGGCTAAACAAAAGAAATACAAATCAAATTGTATCTGTTTGGCTAAGCTCTGGCTTGAGTTGGCTCCACGAGCCACCCCTTTTGCTTCTGTCTTCCATTCTTTGACCACTTCCAGAGCCCCCACCCTTTCTCCTCATTTCGCATTTGTTTGCTGTTATGGTGAAGACGCCTTCCGGGAGGGGGTGTAATGTAAGGGATCTGTTTTGTTTTTTTTTGATTATTATTATTAGTTTTTTCCTGTTTCTGTTTGCCTGAGTTCTTATTCATTATTAGTTGCCATGGTTACGTATTGCTTTGTGCACCTGTTTCTTGTTCAGTTAGTTTTCTCTGGTGTATTTTGATGAACAAAACGTGTAATAAGATTCATAAACTGTGAATCACCATGGGAACCAACTTCCAGGTTGGGCTACAAATATACTGTACATCATCACTGAAGCATTTTAAACTCACAGAATTGGTTGAGCCAATGTTGCGGTTGGGCTGCTATGTTTATATTGAAATGTAAGAACAAAAACGCTCCAACCAACCTTCACATTTTTTCAACTTAAAATTACACTTACAGTAGATTTAAAACTTTCTACAGATTTTTTTTATAAAACTTTGAGTAGTCTCAAGTAGAAAACTTAAATTGAAAACTAATCAGACATTCTCTGCTCATAAGTTTTTTTTGTTGGGGGAAAATACATGGACTTAGTATAATTTAAAGTTGGTTGGAAGCTGCTCAATATTTTACAGGCACCTACGCTTATGTGTGCAGGGCTCAGATAATTCAGCAGGTTTCACAAAGAAAGCCTTTGCGAGTGTCAGGAAGGGGATTTCTCATCCCTCCTGCGAGTGGCTGATATGCAGAGCCTGTGCGTCTGGACCAGACTGCCTATCTCTGGGATTTGTCCTGTCCTTTCAAACCTGAGAAGATCAGTCGTGAGATGGAATGCCAAATGACACAGAGGCGACCGGGGAGGCTCCTACAGCGCTAAACAGATAAAAAGAATTAAACGGAACTGGTCACAGATGTTCCTATTGCCCTTTTTAATTTCCCAATGCACAGTGCTGGATTCACTGTCAATGGTTTTGAATGTGTTCTCCTGGTATATGAAGAAAAATAAAATGGCTTGCAATATCAATGGTCACAGTCAAAAGGATTATATATTATAAAGTATATATATTATAAAGATTATATATACATTACACAAGGTAATATATTCAGTTTTGTCTTGGAATGTATATATATTGTGTATATATATATATATATATATATATATATATATATATATACACAACAAATACTATAATAAGAAATTATAATTTGTCATTATATTTGTTGTTTCAATGAGGATTAATTCAGGGATTTTTGTATTGTTCTCTTTTTTAAAAAATCACACTGTTCTATTAATTATAATGTCAAAACAATCTGTATTTTAATCGACATCAATGTGACCGTCCTCTGTCTGGAGATCTACGACTTTCAGCAACTATATTTCCCCCGCTGAAGCGAAACAAGACTTGACATTACAGAGGACAATTTCACATTTCATTTCTGTTAGCGTTCACATCTCTCTCTCACGTGTTGACAAGTGGAAGATGTGAATGAGCAGGATTGAGGATGTGTAGGGTGAAAGACGTGTGGGGTTGTTTGCGGTTTGGAGGTGGGAGACTGGGTCAGTATGGGCCTGTGGAGGTGGGAGACATGTTAAAACCCTCGTGCCCCTCACACTCCTCAGCCCCCCTCATTGAAGGCAGTGAGAAATGGCTGCCAGAATCTGTATTTAAAACAAACTGCCAGTACTCCTGAGGCCAAGCAGCCCAAAGCTGTTCTGAGTCCAGAGGCATAAGACCCTGACAGACCTGTGAAGTCGAGGTCTGACCTTGGCCCACTTTTACTCTCGGCATGACAGAACTCATGGAGCAGGAGCTTGATGACGTTCAGGTAGTGAGTTGCAGAGATCTTACTGATATTCATGGATCATCTAGAAATAAATGTATATTTATCTGTAAAAAATGATTGTGATTTTAACAGTAAAAGACTGTAAAAATGCCACAGTGAAAAACTGTTAATTGGTTAACAGAAAGTTTCCTTAATATACACGGTAAATAACTGTGATATATATATAATGGTACATTTAATGCACTTTTACTGTAAAATACTGTTAAATTTACAGTTTATGGAAGTGAAAAAGTCTTGTATAATTTACAGTGGAAATATAATAAATGAACATTATATCAGATAGATGGTTTATTGCTGTAAAATTAAATACAGTTAAAAGTCTGTAAAACCTAAAATATTGCTACCGTATTTTTAACAGGAAAACTCTGGTAACCACAGCTGCCAATTTTTTTCCCGTAAATTTAACAGATTTTTTTTTTTTTTTACAGTGTTGTGTTTAGGAATGGAACCACAAATCAGTCAAATAAAGATGTTGATTATTTACAACAATCTATTTGTTTACGTGTCTCAACAACACAAAGTGGTTTGGCAAGATGTTAATTATTATGAATCAGAATAAATTATAATTTTAGTAATCATAAAATAAATCTAATTGAATTTGCAAAAAAAATAAAAAATAAACATTTATATAAATTTTAAAAATGGATATCAATCACCAATTTTTGTTTTATTTAAAACTTTTTTGTTATTTTTGTGCCAAAAATCTGATTCATTACACAAACTAACTATCCTTTCGACACATTTATCTTCATTCTTGAAACATTTGTAAAAAAAAACATCTGTTTTTACCTTATATGGTCACACTACCATCCAAAATTTTGTTTTTGTTTAGTAAAGAATTTAAATGCAATAAATTGATCAAAAGTGACAGTACAGACATTTACAGTATGTTACAAAAGTTCTTTTGATTCTATTAATTCTTTCTATTCATCAAAGAATCCTGATTGTAAATAAAATCTTCAAAAGATTTATTCAAAAAAATATTAACGAGCAATACTGTTTCTAACATTGATATTATTAAGAGATGTTTCTTGAGCAGCAAATCAGCATGATTTCTGAAGGATAATGTGACACTGAAACTGGATTAATGTTGCTGAAAATTCAATTAATTACATTTTTTAAAATTAAACAGTATATTTGCAGACAATAAATAAATACATAATAATAAACCTTATGGTGAAAAAAATACATCTGGATTTACTTAAAACACTGCAGTATTTTATTGTAAGCAAAACACATGCAACAAAGTAAAACGGATGATTTGTTTTTGGGCTAAATTTAAAATCTCAGGCTATGAAAAGATGTGATGTTGGGCAAGTAATGTGCAAAATCTAAGTCGTGGGTTGAGTTGACTAATGCCAGATGTGATACACTATGTCCTTTACTGTACTAAAATGGTCACTAAACATAAATTGGAGAACAAGAAAAGCCTTAAACCCTGTAAAACCTTTATAAAAAAAATAACACCAAAACAGAATCTCACAAAATACATACTGATGTGTATCAATACTGTTCAGTGAGCAATACAACATTTATTGATGATAATCATGTCAATTTTGAGACAAAGTTTGTGGGAATTGTGGCGGAAACCCAAACACAATAGTCTGGCCTCCAATGCTTCATATGGTACATAATCGTGAAGTCTAATAATGCATTTATAGCAAGTGCGGTCAAGTCTATTTCACAAAATATATATACATTTTCACAATGGCAACCATCAGCAAACTAGAATTTGTGATCTTATGTGTCAAAAGTATGTCATTCAAATAACAGATGTTTGAATTTCCATATGGATTAGCATGATTACCTTCAAACTATTAAAAAAAAAACGGTGTTCAAGAATGCCTTGAAAATGAGAGCTAAACAAAAGCTAAAAACAAGAAACAAAAGGAAGAAAAAGAATCATCAAAGCCATTCTTGAAGGCAAAGGCAATGAAATATCGGTCACATATTTCTGTTTCTTATACATACATAAGCTACTTTCAGTTTTTTTTTTTTTTTACATTTTTGGTTTTGTGAATAGATATGAACATTCCCAAACATTTCCCCCCAAAAAATCCATTAAAGATGTGGAGCTTCTTCCTTTTTGGCAATGTTTTTGGTAGAACACATGTTAGAGAGCACAAATCAACGGGGGGTGATATGCTATTTGAGTCATATACGTTATACATCAGAGCAGAGATGATCAACTGGCCTCAGGTCAGGGTTTTGGAACTGATTTCTGGGTTCGGGGGCAAAAGGGTCCACATCGACTGAATGGTTGTGCGGCACTTTACCTGCATCAACACAGCTAAGAGTGACCGTCGAAATGTCCAAATCTTATTAACTTAATGACTTCCCCATTTAAATGGATTCTGATTCAATGTACTGCAAAACAAACTTCATTACCCGGAGCCCTGACAGACAGGGATATATTTTCAACAAAAATTAGTTAACTATTGAATTCTTCAAGATATCTCTCTTTTTTTTTAATTAGGCAGAAGCGCTACATCAGTCATGATTTCACAATGGAAACAGTGGCTTCGGCAATACAAAATTGGCCAAAGGAAATGAGAAGACATGAGAAATCAGGTACCGAAAACTGAGAAAAGCTCAATATGTTTAAACAGCTATGGGCATGATATTTCATATTCTTTTACATTGTTTACACAACAAATTTTGGTTACCAGCAACACTCAGCTGTAATGTTAAATGTACATAGCATGTTTCTAAAACTGTACACTCACAGTTGGCTCTCATACTTGAAATTACAGAGAAAAGTTATATAATCATCAAGACGTCAGGATCGCATTTGTTATGGCGTGGCCTTTTGATGAAATCCTCAATTTTTTTGCTAGGCAACGGAACATAATAAGAAATGATCATTTTAAAAAGGGAGCATACTAAAACTAATAAAATGATAAAGAGCATTAGTGCTTGCTTTTGTCCATGATTCGGGGTAGAAAGGAACACCTGTTTGTATAAACCAAACAAAGATATTGCTCTTTATGTCAAATTCCTTCACTTAAGGGAGAAAGGGAATAAGGGAGCGTTTGAAAGCAATCTGAAGTGAAAGCGGGGAGGAAATGTCATTATAGACCATAATGACTTGATGCTTCCGCCATTTCCGGAATCAGTTATATTTTCATCGACTCGCAGACGGTGTCCTCAAAAACAAACAGAGTGAGGAAATGACTCCAAATGAAATCTACGACGGCAGAGTTGTTTGGACTGCTCTCTACGATAAAAGTAAGCATTTACCTTTATCTAATGGACAGCATTTGATGGTTTTATGGGGGAAACATGATAATCAGCTTTCAACTGGTCAATGGACTGACCTCCACATATCCTGTTTCACGTTTTACACACAGATTTAGAAGAAAAATCTGTTATAGGGCAAAAATTGTCAAAGGAAATAGATGGATTTTGGAAAATAAACAACAAAACCAACAAAATAGTCAATATATCATTATTGAACGAACAAGAGGCAATTGATCGTACCGATAAGAAGAGCTTTCTTCCAAGCACAATATCAAGTGATATCTGTTTTTTTTTCTTCTCATTTTTCTTTTTTGCTGAGAGGTAGAATGAAGCATTTAAATTGAAACACGACAACTGGTTGTTCCATCATAAACAATAGCCTCTTAAGACTGAAACAGTCACAGGTTAGTTAGTCGCCCTGTGCCACCTAAAAGACACTGTGAAAACTGTACAAACACAACTTTTTTTTTTTCCTTTTCCTTTTTAAAATTTTCAAATTCATAATTGTTTTCTAAAATCTTGTAAAGTATCCCAAATGTTCCATGGCGGTATGGCATGATTGTGTATGACCACGTGGGTGGGACGTTAATCCGAATCTGCGGAGGGTGGATCGCTGGATTTTTAGCGAGAGCAGTCTGAAGATCCCACACGCTTTTGGGGATGGATGATCAGTTGGAAGTGTCGGAATGGACACTCCCGGGTCCTTCCGTGGGCGAGGTCACTGAGGAGGGTGTCGGGGCGTCTTGCCAGCCGCCGTTCGCCTTTCATGAGGAAAAAGCAAAACGACAAAATCAGTGCTGCACGATTAATCATATCGCAATCGTAATCGTGACATCAAACCTATGCGATTATGTAACGCAAAATGCCGCGATTTTATATTAAATGAATAAATTAGGGCTATTAACGCAGCACACTCTTCTTTCTTGACATCCTTTTACTAGTGTTACATGCTCTTATTCGCATGACAAGAAGTCAAAAGAGAGCGCTGCCTGTGAATGTCCTGAATGTGACTCGTAGAAAGATGCGCGCCATAATGCGCATACACAGACCGCGTGCCAAAATGTGAACAACGAACGAATAACGAACAATAACTCACACGATTAATGCCAAAATGTCGTTTTGTCGAGTATCTTCATAACATAGGAAAAGTCTTATGGACGAAAAGTGGGAGAATGAGGCGTGTGAGATCCGCGTCTCGGCAACGGCTGCTCTTAAAGGGCCAGCAGCGAAAAAGCGTTCTGTCAGTAAATTTAAGTTAATCACAGAACAAAGGGAACAGAAAATGACTCACTGCTCTTGACTAAAGAACTTTTGTAGCTAACTTTTGTGGTCTATATATAATTTATTTTTCAGGCAGCGCAGACTGTTTGATAACTTTATTCAATTTCTGTATCCTACTTGTTAAAACAGGAAGGGCACAGGTAAATATGGCATTTATTATGGGTTTATGTGAGGATTGTTTGAAGTTCACTTAATTTAAAAGCTGTTATATATACATATATATATTTTTTTAAGTTTATAGCTTTTAATTGTAATGATGGAATCACTGTAATGTTGGTTTGGTTGATGGTTTATTGGTCATTATAGGTGTTATCAGTATTTGAGTTGAAAAATACACATTAACATGAAACTCATGAAACCATTCGTTTATTAAATCGCATATCGCAATTGCAATATCGACCTCAATAATCGCAATATAACATTTTCCCCAAATCGTGAAGCCTTAGACAGAATGATGACGTGTAGATTTGAAAACACAACGCAAAGACTGATGCGAAACAGATTCGAAACGAGAGCGACTATAATGACTATAAACACAAAGTCACAAAGTGAGGCGGTAAAAAGGAACGACATTATGCTGCATATTATGAGTCATAGCGAGTCATTTCCAGAACACGATTTTCAAAAGACAGATGATGGAGGAATCAATTATTGCAAATTATCACATTGGCTAAAGGAATGAAAGTATAATGGGCAGCTAAAATGGAGGCCATTTCATGTCCGGGAGACAGGTTGCCTAAAGAGCATTTGGGGCATTAATAGCAATTTCCATGCCATCAGAAAAAGGACTAGAAATGGGCTTTGGCAGCCTCTTATTTTCCCAGCCTGTTATTTTAGATAGAGGCAGTCTGTAATCAAAAAAAGAAAGAGCAGAGCGAGGAGAGGAAAAAAAAAAAACTTTTCAAATCTTCGGCTTTGGTGACACCCCATGTCTATTTCAAAGGCGTAATTACAGCGCATGGGCGAGAGGAAAGCTTCCCCACATAAACGCTTTATGTCTCAGGCCGTCATTATTCACAACCGGAAAAAAAGGAGAATAACTTATCTGGGTGGAGAAGGAAAAATATCATGTTATTTAAGACAGTGAATTCTGCCTTAAATAAGATCGAGACACTTTCTCTGGCTACATTATCACAGCGTTACGATGCAAATGCTCAGGACTTTTTTGAATTCATGGTGTTCAAATAGTGTTGATTTAATAATTGATACGAACATGAAATCAATGAAGTTGACATTTATAAATCTGCATCAATTAACAAAAAACATTTCAAAGGGGTTGTGCATTGGGAAATGACATTTTTCCTTGATCTTTTGCAATAAACAAGTCATCGTACTATAAAAACATCCTTTGAGTTTGCCATAGATGGCACAGGTCACTTCCACAGGACACACTCGGCTTTGCTTCAAGCCAGCTATTTAGAGAGACTGTGTTAGTGTGTTTGTCTTTTTTCCCTTTTTTCCCCTCCTCACACTTTGCTGGCTCCCTGTCAGTGCTGTTAAGGTGGCAGATGTGTGATATGACCAATGCACTTGGATTGCTGTCCCAAATCACTACTCAGCCCTCCCTTGAGACTGTCTGATCAATTTCCTCTGCTGGCGACACGGCTTGTCGCTGTGGATTTTACATGCTGGCCTTTGCCGCTTGCGTTCTCGTTCTCTCTCTCTCTCCCTCTCTCTTAAACACTCCTCCCCCCAGTACAAAACTGATGGTTGGAGCCGCTCGTCTCCTCTGGTTAACACAATTCTTTTAATGTGCGCTCAGAGCTGTGGTGGAGGACACAATCGAAAGCTTTGGATGAGTTTGATGGTCAGAAAAGCACCTACATCTGGGCTTCTTTGATGTTGTTGGTGTTTGTGTGTCTGAAGGAGCCATGGTAACGCTGACACTGATTATTTATGATTTACGATCGCCTTGGCGTGCATATTTGCCACTGGCACCACTTATCAATATGGCAACAGACTAGCTAGAGCAGCTAGAGGTAAGCAGTGTTGCCAAAATATTATAATCAAGTATTACAATAAATGAATGTAAGAGTATCTAGATAGAAATATAATTTAGTCTTGTAAATTGCTAAAAAAAAATAATAATAATAATCGATAAATTAATTGCACCTACACTCTAAAAAATACTGGGTTGTTTTAACCCAAATTTGGGTCAAATATGGACAAACCGAAATGTTGGCTTAAAAATGTCCTTTACGTTTGTCCATATTTGACCATATTTAAGTGTAAGGAGCTATTTATATCCTTAAATATATTTTTGTTGATGTAACCTATAGCTACACAAATATATATATATATATATTTTTTTATATTTGTTTTCTGCTTTGCTCACTCTTTGAAGAAAAGCTTCTAAAGAATGTTAAAGGATTCTGGGTCAGACACTTCATACACTCTAAACAATGCTGGGTTGTTTTAACCCAAATTTGGGTCAAATATGGACAAACACAAATGTTAGGTTAAAAAATCTAATTTAAAATTTGAACCCAACTTCAACTGTCACTTTCAACTGTAATTTGACCCAAATTTGGGTTGAAACAACCCAGCATTTTTAGAGTGTAACATTAAAATGTTCTATTTTACATTGTAACAATTTCACATTTAATCTCCAAATTGCATCTTTTTATAAAAGGCGGCCAGTATCATTTACAAGTGTATAAAAAAAAAACAAAAAAACAATTATAGGCATTCAGCAACTTAATTTTAGTGAACTTAAAACAAACTTCACATGAACCCATTATAATAAATGTCACATTTACCTGTGCCCTGACCTGTTATCATTGTTTTTGACCCATGTACGCTTGTAAACAGTGCTTTAAGATTTTTAGGTAGGTCTAACAGGTAGGAAATATGCAGAAATTGTATAAGTTATCAAACACTCCAAAAATGATCAATTCAATATAAATTAATCCTTATTAAAGCTACAAAAGCTCATTCAAGACCAGTGAGTGATTTTCTTTTGTTCTTTGATTATCCTTAATGACTAACCGCAGTGGGTTTATTAGGCTGCGGTCACTTTAAGACCTGACACACATGACAGGGATCTGACATGCAGCCCATTTTCTCACAACTCTTTACGTTCATGTAACTCATTTAAGACTGTGTTTATGGGGAACATGTATGACTTTCGAGAGTTTCATTAAAAAAGTGCACATTAAATATTCTAAACACAGAAGATCACATGTGCGATGTGCTAAAACAGATCTCACTGGTTCTCACATATGGGTTTTCACGCGTCACCCTTGCACGCACATTTGAGCTTTTTATGAGCCTTTGAATGGCGGTTGGCAATTCCACTTGAAGGTGCATACAAGGTGTATGACACCTGCGTGACAGCTGACGTAAAATAAAGGATCGAGCTTAGGAAAGCTGATACCGATCAGTTAAAAAAATTCGGCTTGGGACATCCCTAATAATGTTATTAATTCATTGAAGTATTATTAGACAAAATATCATACATACATGTTAATAATAAGAAATGTTTCTTGAGCAGCATATTAGAATGATTGCTGAAGGATCATGTGACACTGAAGACTTGAAAATTAAACTTTGCCATCACAGGAATAAATTACATACAATAAAATATATTTAAAACAGGAAACTGTTATTTTATAATCTAATAATATTTCATAATATTACTGCATTTTTTGTTAAATCAAAGTAGCCTCGAGTGAGCATAAGAGACTCATTCTCAGAGTCAGAAAAATAATACATTTTACCATCACCAAATTTTTTTTATATCAAGCTAATGGCACTGGTCTTGAGAATCAGGAGGCTCAGTATGGACTTACATTGAGGCCCTGTGGACTGTATATCTGACTGGCAGCGAGGCTTTCACTGTATCCGCCTGTCTGACTGATAACATGGCGAAGAGTATCCACCTGCAGACAGAAGAACACAACACAAACAAAAGACAGGGTCAGACAATGCCTATCCAAAACAAAGACGTTTGTGCTGAGAAAAGGTCACCCTGATACAAAAAGGATATTGGCAACCGAAAAGGTCATCAAATGTTGAATGAAATGTTTGTGCAGCAGATATCAAACAAAGGACACAATTTGTTCCAGAACTGATGAGAAATAAACCCATGTTTACAAAGTAATTGACAAATAATGTGATTTTAGAGAATTACATTTGATGAAAAATATAAATTATAATTAATATATTTAAAAATAGGGGTGCTTATTTAGGCATTCATTCAATTAGTTATGGAAATAATGCATTTAATCAGCCCCAGACCCAGGTTAACATTTCATTCAGGATTGGTGACAAACATGAACTCATTGTGTGATGCAGCCTATAGAAGGACCCTAAAATTCAAGATATCAGGGCAAAAATGCCCCTGTATGAATTTTTGTCTTATATTTATATCATTTGAAGTAAGCAATATCACACGAGTAAGAGTGCAATATCACACGAGTACTGTTTTTGTCTCAAATAGCATGAGTACAAATGTGAAAATGATTTTATACAACAGTTCAATAAATAAGAAGATAATATTGGTATATGTTTAAGCTAGCCTAAACAGTTATGTGCAATATAAAGTTACACAAACATTACACAAACGTAAATTCTATGTCGAATCAAATCAAATATTTCGCTACTTTTTGTAATGTTTGATTTGATGTTTTCTCATTTAACACAATAATGACTTTAAATGATCTTTTGTGGGTAATTTCTCAGGCAAATTTGATTTGCGATTTGAGACATGAATTACTTCGATAAAACATTTCAATAGCTTGACAGCCCTAAGCAATTAGGTACGAAACTCCACTTCGCGTCATGCCTAAAAACGCCCTTCAGCTGTTACGTATTCACGACACAGCACTTGCCTCGAGTACCTTATTGCTTTTATAAAATGGTTACCACACAATAAAAATATTAAAGTAAAAAAAAAAAATTATTAGTGCAACTTTCATGAAGTACAATCACTAAAAGCCTTCCTTCCGCTAGAAAAAAAATAGTCCCTGACAGTAAACAGCAACAATGTTTCAACGTGTATTATGCATGAAAGCTCAAATAAAAACAATATAGGAACCGCAGTGTTGTGCAATGATAAATAGAACCATTGGGTGAAGCAGTCATTATCATGAATAAAGCACAGCTATTGACCAATCAGAATCAACGATTGGAACTAACCGTTTTATAAATATATATATATATAATTATACATTTAATATTTGGATCAATTCTATCAAAACACACTCATGTAAAATCTCTCTCATGTAATTCGTGCAGCACATGAACTCATTTCAGAAGATTTCCTCTGGGATTCCAGCACTGAATATTCATGAAGCACCCCGAGCCTTCGGAGAAGTTCCTTCGTTATGGGCGGAAAACATTACAAACGTCAAAAGGGGACAAACCGAAGCACCCCGTGTTTGGATGCTAGCATGCCGGGCAAGGTCAGGAAGCCACGGTGGCGGACGTGACAGCATGACAGATACGCAATCCTGCTGACAAGAGCTGTATTGTTTCCAAGACTGTCTTTGATGGTCTATTCATTTGGAAGTTGACAATGGCCACGAAGCACTGTACGACTGCTGGAGGCAAACTGTAACCCCAGTCCGTTCTCAAGGTCATGTTAGCCACGACTGAGCAGAAATCTACACGCGTCGGACACTAAGATGAGCTGGCTGGAGCTGAGAGATGAACTTTGTTGTGACAAGGATACATAACAAGATGTTGACTATTTGATCAGTTATGACAGAGACGTGCCATTCGGTACTAACGAAGACGGTTCCCTTGAAGATATTGGACAAGAACAAATCATTCGATTTCAGGAACAGCATGTGCTTGCTTGCAAAAGGGGTTTGGTGAAAAGCAAAGCTTAATTGACCAAAGTACCCCACAAAAAGGCAGAAGCACTTTCCTAAGGTTCCTTTGTTAGAAATTCAATAAATATAACAAAAGAATCGGAGTCCTAATGGTTCCAGGCCCACTGGGCAAACCCTAGCCATGACGTGATTTTGTGAGCTGGGTTATAAGGACCACCATTACGACAGCACAATGTGTGATTGGGTGTAATTGAATGAAATTAGTTATGGTCATCTGCTCTTTCTCTCAGCACTACTCCCTACCTGTGACTGAACGTTGGCCCCCACTTGGGCCCCCTGGTATGAGTCCCCATTCAGAGACTGCACACTCATGAACAAGTCCCCGGAGTTCATATTAAAAGAGCCAGCGGAACCTAAGAAGAAGAGAGGCAGAGAGAGAGAGAAAGACAGGGATAGATAAAGACAAGAAACAGTCATGCAACAGTAAGACTGAGGAAAGGAGGGTTAGTAGTGCAGAGCTGTTCATTTAAGTGAGGGTTATATGATAAAAAAAACACACAGGCTTTGTTCCAAATGCCAGTTCCAAGATTAATATACATTTACAATTCATTCAGTATCTAAGAGTACCTCATATTTCTGTTAGCTTAGCAACACGCTAATTAATTCTGTTGGAATATATTTGGCCAATGGCCGAAAATATTATCACAATATTCTTCAATATTGAATATGAGTATTTATCACAGTATTCATTTCTAACCATTGGGGAAGGAAATGCATTCCAAGTGTTTGTCTAATGAAATGAATTCTGAAAAGCTTAATTTAACTAATATTTTAGAATGTAATCAAAATATTACAATTAATTAGTGCTGCACAAAATAACTTGCATATTGTATGAAATAACACGTGGATGAAAAAAAAATCTTTGTGTGATATTCCTTAAAGAAAAAAAAAAGGAAAATTATATAATTATTAGTAGGGCTGTCAAACGATTAATCGCATCCAAAATAAAAGTTTGTGTTTGCATAATAGATGTGGCTGTGGGTGCACTGTGTATAATTATTTTGTATATAAATACACACACATGCATGTATATTTAAGAAAAAAAATAGTATTTATATATAAAATATTTGTATTTATATATAATATAAATTATATATAAATCTATAGTATACACATGAAAATATTTCTTAAATATATACAAGCATGTGTGTATTTATATATATAAAATAATTATACACAGTGCACCCACAGCCACATACTGTATATTATGTAAACACAAACTTTTATTTTGGGTGCGATTAATCGCGATTAATCGTTTGACAGCCCTATTATTATTACTTTGAGAAGTACATTTTAATGTACAATAATAATATATTACTGTCACAATTGTGTATTGTAAAAAAAAAATGTTCAAGAACTTTTATTTTGGCAGATTGTCCTCATAACCTTTGAATTTCAGTGTGTATTTGGCAATATCTTTTCTCAAATTAAATATGAGAAAATTAGATAAAAACAGTTTGCATCTCATGTGCCTGAGTTTGTGAAGTAGATGAAATTGTGCCACTCATCCACACAAACACAGAATGCGCAATCTTTTCGGCAATACACACCTGATCTTCTAGAATAATATTCAGTAATATTAGAATCATCAGTAATGTTGTGGATTTATTTTATTTATTTATGTTGATAAATAACTATATTGATTTATCACCCAGCCCTAAATCAATGCTTTTTAATGCTAGAGAACATTAGGTTCCTTTTTAATTGGGATGCTGTCTATATAGAAAATGCTAGAAAGACAGCAAGGAAGCTCACTAGGTTTTGAAACAGTCCTGCTGAACCTGCCTAAGGTTGTTTACTGTTCTCAGCCTGGTCATGCTGGTCTTTAGCTGGTTGGCCAATACCCCAAACCCTCTAAAACCATCAAAACATTATGACAATAGACATTACCTTAGCACAAAAAAAAAACTATTAAAGTGTTTCAAGAACAACAATGGGTTAAGAAGGGATTATTAATACTACTACAGTGATATCTAAGATGGTCAGTACAGTTACTGTACACGGCCACAGCCCAGTCTTTCAGGATGTGCTAATTGAGTCACACAAGGAATCAAAGAATGCTATTTTTCTTTTAATGGAGGAGACAACGCAAGATGCCCTAGATGTTTAAGAGAGAGAGCAGGGCTTAACTTAATTTCCGCTTTAAAAGCCACACGGCACTAATCAAATGTACATGGACCTCTAATCACTTCAAGGCTATATGACAAAAGGCTTGACCATCTTTTCATAATGACATCCTGGAGGTCAACCAGACAACAGTGACCGAGGCGACTGATACCTTAGGTGCACTCATTCCAGAATAAAAAGCAAAATATAATTTTATGCAAATAACCGTTAAGTCCAACTGGTGAAATTAAAAAAAGTAGAGAAATAGCAAGCAGAGATTAGTAGAAGATGAATTTTTTGCTTTTGAAAAGCGAGAGGTCAAGCTGCTGATGTAGATAAAGAAAAGGAGGACTTCTTTTTTGCCAGTAGGTGACATTAAAGTTGGTATTTCTGCACCACATTCTAAAAACCAGTTGACGACGAATGAAAAACAGGCACATCTGTTGTTTGTGTGTGGATTTACTGCAGTACTCACCAGCTGAATTTGGTGTGGAAGGCGAGTTGGCTTGGCTGCCGTGGGTGGAGACGTTGGTTGCGGTAGCGGCGGTTCTGGCAGCGTACATGTTGGCTTCTTCTTGGAATTTTCCAATATTTTTCTTGTATCTAATTCTCTTATTTCCAAACCAGTTAGATACCTGAGAAAACAATAACTAATGGTTAAATCAGAATTCAACTTTAATGTTAATTGAGAGCTCTTAAAGGAGTAGTTTTAAAAAAAACGTTTGCTGATAATTTACTCACCCCCATGTCATCCAAGATGTCCATGTCATTCTTTCTTCAGTCGAAAAGAAATTAAGGTTTTTGATGAGAAAATTCGAGGATTTTTCTCCATAATGGACTTCAATGGGAACCAAACGGTTCAAGGTCCAAAAGACAGTTTCAGTCTTGAAAACTGTTCAAAGGGCTTTAAACGATTTCAGACGATGAATAACGGTCTTATCAAGCGAAAAGATCGCTCATTTAAAAAAAACAACAACAAAGTTTAAGTTTTATAAGCTCAAATGGTCGCCTTGCTCTGTTCTGTGATGCACGTTCGTGACTCTCCTCTTTGAACTCGTTCATCAAAATGAACGAATCTTTTTCCGTGTCATTTGGTTCATTCAACGAACAAAATGAAGGAGTTGACTCTGGAAAAGATTGGTTCATTTTGATGAACGAGTTCGAATAGGAGAGTCACGAACACACATCACACCCTAACCCTAACCCTAACAAAGCAAGGCGACCATTTGAGCTTATAATATTTAAACTTTGTTATTTTTAAAAAACTGAGCGATAGTTTCACTTGATAAGGCTCTTATTCATCGTCTGGAATCGTTTAAAGCCCTTTGAACACTTTGCAGTTTGCACTGAAACTGTCTTTTGGACCTTGAACCGTTTGGTTCCCATTGAAGTCCATTATATGGAGAAAAATCCTGGAATGTTTTCATCAAAAACCTTAATTTCGTTTCGACTGAAGAAAGAATGACATGGATATCTTGGATGACATGGGGTTGAGTAAATTATCAGCAAAAGAATTTTTAAAGTGAACTACTCCTTTAAGTTTCTTTGAACTTCAAATGTCTAATGGCGCTTTTCCACTACACAGTACCAGCTCGACTCGACTCGGCTCGCCTTTGTTTGGTTTTCCACTGTGTAAAAGTTGCATCACCTCCGGTGCTGAGCCGATACTAAAATGTGCCGTGAAAACAATGCCGACTGCTGATTGGTCAGAGAGAATCATCACCATTCATGTGTCATCATTGCACGTGCCAGATGGAATATCCAGAATAACCCCGCCCTTTTTAAAGAGTTTGCCCAGAGATAGTTACTAAACTTACTACTATTATTATACTCAGAAGAATACGCCGTGGTCAAACAAGGAGGTGCAGACTTTCCTTTGTTTGGTGGCCGAAGAGAGGATCCAGCGAGAGCTTGATAGGGCAACGAGGAACGAAAGGCGTCGCTATGACGACCGGGTACTATTTGTGGCGGTACTGTCTGCAATGGAAAACGGAGCGAAAAGCGAGCTGAGTCGAGTCAAGTCGAGCTGATATTGGTAATGGAAAAGCGCCATAAGTATTCTGTGTCACGGTATGAGGTGAAGGTTGGGGAGTCTCACCTGTGAGACTGTAATGGAGCATTTCTTTGCCAGCTCCTCCTTGGCCTCTTCGCTGGGGTACGGGTTGCTTAGGTGGGAGTAGAAGTATTCGTTCAGGATCTCTGTGGCCTGCTTATTGAAGTTTCTCCTTTTTCGTCTTATGGGAAATGACAGAACAGAAAGAAAGAGAGAGAGAAAGCGAGAAGGAGGAAGAGAGAATGAGAAAGGGAAAGAGCAAAGCCAGCATGACTCAAAGCTAGTGCCTATAAAGTCCTTCATGTTTGAACCTGCTGTGTGAGATACTCGTAAAAATTGTGATATTTTATATCTCATATAAACGTGTGAGATACTTCCACCCACAAACATGCGTATACACTCATACAGACCTGGCGTCGAGGAAGCGGGAGCGCAGGATCATGACCGCCTCGCAGGTGCTCTGCTTGAGCTGCATCTGGATGGAGCTGAACTTGCGATGGATGATGTTCACCATGCGCTCGATCTCTTTGGGGGAGATGGGCCGAGTGCGAGACTGCTCCCTCAGCAGGTTCATCACGTGGGTGGTGAACTCGTTACACGCCTGAACATGCACAGAAGGACGGCACAAGGATCAGTCTCAGGATCCTAAGGCCTACAGCATTTTGGTATTGAAACGTTTGAATTTAGTCCGATCTAGGAGACTTACCTGCTCATACTTCTCCAATTCTGTGTGGTAGATCTGACGGATCTGGGTCAGCTTGGCCCGGTAGTCTGAGTGTTCGGCCGAGTTATCGGACCCGGAACCACCTGTTGCAGCGGCGGCGGCGGCAGCGGCAGCCGACCCGCCCCCTTTCTCGGGACCGGACACGCCCTCGGCTAGCAGCATGTTGTCCAATCGCATGAGTTGAGCATCTGGTGGCTCCTCCTCCTGAGCTCCACGGATACTGAGTACTGTCAAGAACGAGAGAGAGGATAAAAACTTGAGTCATTTTTGTAGGCTCAACTGCTAAAAATAGCCTCAAATCATCATCAAAGAAATCCTCTGAAAGCCTCTTACTGGAAAATCGCCTGATATATTATACTGTTTCTGATTAACTTTTGCAATTTCTCAATACAACACAAGCAGATCTTAATATTATTGATCTGCCAGCATTGACACCATTGTATGAGAATTGACCTGGACGATGACATCACTGTTTTTTCCAGAGCTACCCCACCGATAAAGGATTTTGAAGGCCGATACCGATACAAATATTTTTGGGTTTTAAAATCCGATATTCCGATATATCGGCCGATATTTTATTTATTTATTTGAAACTGGACATGGTAGTCACAAATTTTGTCATGCTTATTTGAGTTAAGAGAACTGATGGGGATGTTCTTTTAATTGTTATTCAAGAAATGTATGTATCGTGACCAACTCAACGAGAGTTCCCAACAGGAACGGTGTAGAGTGCCCTCTGGTGGACAAACTATATAACTCCAAACACTCATGACATGGTTCAAGCGTGTTTCGTCCGTTTTTATTTTATTTTTGAAATATTCATTTATCGGCCACATTATAACTACCGATACTGATAGTTTGGAAAATGCCTAATATCGGCCAATAATATCGGTCTGCCGATATATCGGTCTGGCTCTAGTTTAGATAAATGTACTAAATCAATAACTAATGATTTTTACAATGGAAATGAATCAACGCTGAACTTACTGAAGCTGGAAAATGACACTTCTTTCTTTTAGAGCTGCTGTACAGCCAAAACAAACTTATTAGTATTAAACTTAGTATTCAAGTAAACTTATGCAGTATTTTCCACAGTAAAGCTAGTTTGAAACTGTTGTAAAAAGTGCTATATAAATAAAGGTGACTTGACCCGACTCAAAAATGAGAAGCACATAAATCTGTAATGTATGCAGTTTTTCACAATTTCCAAGACACATTTCTTGAAACCTTCAGCTTCACCCATTTTAAACATAAAAACAAATCCTCAAACAACATTCACAAAACTCTTCTGGCAAAACCAAACTATCGCCTCAAAACCATTTAACCTGCACACAAAATCAAACAATGCTTTCAGATCATATACACACCAGTCAATATATTAACACTACAGGTCATTCATTAGACATGAAACATAGAAAACACAACATCCAGAGCATGAGGTTCAAGAAACTAAGTATACAGTACCATATACAGCAAACAAAATCTGCAATTGTAGATTCTAACTATTAGTGAATAATAGTATGTACTGCAAGTATAGCATTGTAAACTACTGAATGTCTGTATATTCAGCACTTGCATACTGTGAAAATACAGTAGTTGTAATGCAAACGGCCAAAAGGTCAAAGAAAACTCTTAATGAAAAGCATGTTACAGTACACTCAGTTGTGAAACTGCAAAATCAATGTTAATGAGAGATTCATCGTGCCTCAGCATTATGTCTTCATGTTCGGTCCAGCCTGAGGACTTTGTCCACATTAAACCTGGTTTAAGTTTTGGTTCAGAGAATGGGGTTTAGTGTCTTAGCAATTGTGAAAAACTTTAATATGAGTGATCACCATAAAGGTTAAGTTTAAGTAAATGTCTGCAATAAAATCAACATAATAACATCTCATTTTCTCCTTATGAGCTTTGATGGAGCTTGAGAAATGATATATGGCCTCCATTTTAATTGCTCTCTTTGTGATAAAACAAATGTGGAACTATACACTGGTCTTGGCAGGGCATGAGATAATAAAACCATCACTTCATTGATTTGCACTATAATTTAGAATAAATTATTATATCAGAGCTCATTTTTAGTTCTTGATCTTGTGATATTAACCCAGTGAGGACTAAAAGCCTTAAATGATTATTATTATTAAAAGCATTATACTAAAATATTACCGAGATTATTACCCACTGCTGTGTTTATTTGTTCATATAACTGTCAAGTTCTCTGGAAATCGTTCTTTTTTCCAACTCAAATCAATGTACAATGAATCTCTACTCTTTGAATCTCACTGATTTTAGTGATGGCGGTATCACTGTTTATATTGGCGATGTTACAAAGTATTTTTGTAATCATTATTACAACGTTTAACTCCAGTGTGGGTCCAAATACTCCAAAGGCCTTAATCATCTGATTTAAATGTAAAATATGGTAAAAAAAAATATTTGGTAAAATATGTTAAAGAGAGCTAGGAGTTATTATGTTATTAGTCGCAGAAAGTATTACCAAATTAGCAAAGTGGAGGAAAGAGTGGAGGATTGTGTGGGTCTGGTTATTACTAAACCAAGAAAAGAAGACTCTCAGATGAGTTTTTGCTGTGTTTGTGCGCTGTTATTGGACCATGATAAACTGTTGTATCTTTGTGTGCCACTAGATGTCTCTCCTTATGCTCTGTTCAGGGACGGCAGACCGACAGCAGACAGAACCTGCAATAATCATTGATTCAACAAAGAAAACCTGAGACAGCACACAAATTCTGATTCACAAACAATCTCACAAACAACCATTCACACAATTCGCAAGAACAACAGTTTGACGATAAAGATCCACAGCGCTAAACAATACTAAATGCAAATAAAACCAATACTCCTCATAAAGCAACAGTTCTGTCTTGGTTACAGTAACAGTGGATGTGAAGTGGTGACCAGTATAAAAATTAGTAAGCAATTGCTTATTTGATCTTTCTTAAAATTAAATTTATATATACATATGTACACTACTGTTCAAAAGTAGAGGTTTCTTTATATATATATATATATAATTCTATTCTGAAAGGGTGCATTAACTTGATAAAAAAATAATTGTCACAAAGGATTTCAATTTGCTGTTCTTTAAAACAGAAAAGTTTCTCTGAACAATGTAGAAACAATATTCTTTTAGGTTGTTTTAAATTGTATTAATATTTCACAATATTACAGTTTCTACTGAAGATTTTGGCCAATACCGTTAACCGATAATGCTTTATTTTTGAAAGCTGATAATCAACACATTATATACTGGCCGATAAATCCAAATCCAAATTTGTATATAATTTTTGAAAGCCTGATTCCAAAAAGGAAAGTCTCACCATTAAAAGCCATGTCCCATGCACACAATTACAATGTTCTCATTACAATTTTATGTGGCCTATATAAAAGCACATGTTGCACTACTAAATTATATTTCATATTTAAAGCAATTCAAAACCATCATGGCGAACAGTGTGCATCTGAAGTGTATCAGCTGAAGGAAATAATCCATTTTTTATTTAATATATCAGACAAATTGTCTTACCCGGCCGATAACGATAACATTAAAAATGAACAGTACATCGTCCGATACTGATATAATGGCCGATATATCGTGCATCCCTAGTTTTTACTGTATTTTTTTTTATCAAATACATACAGCCTTTGAACAAAAAATGAATAAGCAAGTGACCAAAAAAGATATTGTGTGTAAATACATATAACATTCAAATCAAAAGATATAGGAAGCATTCCCCCTCCTGTTTAAAACTATACACTATTCCAACTATATTGAATTGTATGATTTGTTTTTTAATTTGCATTTTTTACACTGTAAAAAAAATCTTTTCATGATTAGTAATCACAACATTTTTTCTTTTGTAAAATCAACTTAAATAATTTATTTAGTTCAAATGACATATAATTTTGAGTTTCTGGTGATTAAATCAATCTCCTTCATTGTATTAACTCACTTCATCCATTTCAATGAACTTAAAATTTTAAGGCAACCAGGTTACTTACTTTTTTAAGTTAAACCGACAATCACGAGTTCACACTTACATACAGTGCTGGTCAGAATTATTAGCTCAATTGATAAATATGATCAAAGATGGCTGTAAAATCATTAATCCTTTTGATATTTTATTAAAAAAATTAATGCATTGATTTCATAATGTGATTTCCACCCCACTTTCAATTCTTTTACTTCAATACAGGTTCGATTTTTGTGTTTAAAAAAATATGTATATTTATATCAAAAGGATAAACAATGCAGATTTATTTTTTACATCCATCTTTGATCATATTTACCAAGGGGGCAGATAATTCTGACCAGCACTGCATATTAAGACATATGCGTATATGGCGTTCCGTCCGAGAAATGTTTGGAATTTGGCCCGATTCCAAAGCAAACCTGCAAAAACAACTAATGTCTGTTGCTGTTGCAACGTGCCGCAGTAGAGCCAATGCTAACGGCCCTGTGACATCATTCTGAAGATGACAGGGGAGGGTTATCTGTTTCCACAACCCGAACCCAATCAGCCCATCCTCTTCCAATCAGCTCACTCCCACTACAAATGTCAAGGGCCGTCAGAGGTCAAGAGGTCAGGGCGCGGGTTGAGCGAGGTCAGGTTTCTCCAGAGAACGCTGGCAGTACAACAAACATCCTGCTTCTTTAGCGTGTTCTTCAGCGACACTTGTAGTGTGTGTTTCTTTAAGTGATTATTTTTCTTGAACTCTTCGCTTCAACTCTTCAGCCTGTTTGAGCGATCTAGCTCTGCTTTTCAAATAACCATGTCTGTCCAATTTCAGGCTCGTCTCAACTGTCTGCCCACCCAACTATTTCACAGCGAATAAAAAAAAAAAAAAAAACACAAGTGTATGTCAATAGCTCAAAACCAGAGAGAAAGAGCAGGTCTTTTATGCCTTTATAATAGAAAGAGACAGCAACAGTGGAACGTGACTGGCGTACGGCATCGACTAAAGAAACCCAGGCCCAGAAGTGTGCAACGTTCATCTGGAGAGGAAATCTAATGAGGCAAATAATGATTTATTCATTCCAACCATATCCTCCAGTGCACAATTAAATGCATGAAATATATTAAATAAATACAATGAATGTGGATAATCATGCAATTCACTTTGCTGTTGCTTAATTACCCCAAACCGATGCAATGCACTTTATTTATTTTGATTCAGTAATGGCATGGCAATCGATTAGGCCGTAATGCTG